CAGGGCACAGAATGATGAACTGTACCTTTGACTTGGTAATATAATCCAGTCCTCTCAAGGCCTCCAAGGGGTTAAATTTACAGGAAAAAAGTTGTCATCACTAAACTATGCACACTGATGAGGTTATAGCCTCAGGATTTATGAAATCTTGATAACCGGGAAATTAATTACCTCTGGAACTCCTACTGCAAACAACTGAAAGGGCTACAGGGCAGTACCCAGTAAAACTACACCAATCAAGTCAGTGTAGCATGTGTCCCACACAGTGGGTACAAATCTATATTTGCTTCCAAACTAAGAGAACCCTCTTTCAGTCAATGGGGCCAGTGGACTGCAACACATCCAAATTTTCAGATAGTTTAGAAAAATCAGACCCCAGTAAGACAGGGAAGACAGGAGCAGACAAGCACATCCAGGGCACTTCCGCGCTCCAGGCCAGAGCTGGCCTGATTCAGGCAGACCAGGGCTTTTATGAGCCGCTCCTCAAAGGTAAAAGAAACAAAAAGGATGTGGAAAGCGTTTGCTTCGGCCAACAAACATTCTTAGAATTCTGTTTCTCAAATCATTTCTCTTATACTTCTTAAGGTAGGTTCACAGACTTGGTGAACGTGTTCCAAGAAAAATAACGCCTTCAATAGGGTGGTGATTACATTATGATTGTCCCTGCATGGAATACTACCTGGTCACTGGAAACAATGAGGCAATCAGTATGAATTGATTTAGAAATTGACACATACATGCACATATATGTATTTACATACACATACGTATTCTTATTTTAAAAGTATGAAATACGTTATTTTCTATAAACAAATTATGATAAAAATGGGTTCCCTCTGAGAGATAAGAATGGGCCTGGATAGCAAAGGAGTACATTTTTTATTTTATATATTTTTATTTAGTTTGATTTTTTTAAACCATCAGCATATATTATGAAAGTGACAGATAAAGAAGTGGCAAACAACTATAAGGAAACAAACTGGACAACCTAGAAGAAATGGACAAGTTTCTGGAAACATATAGTCCACCAAGACTGAATCAAGAAGACATAGACCACTTGAAGAGACTGATCACTAGAAATGAAATAGAATTGGTAATTAAAAAACCTCCCTGCAAACAGAAGTCCAGGACCAGATGGCTTCACTGGGGAGTTCTATCAAACATACAAAAAAAAAAGCTCATACCAATCCTTCCCAAACTCTTCCAAAGGATTGAAAAGGAGGGAACACTCCCAAACTCATTCTATGAAGCCACCATCACCCTGATACCAAAACCGGACAAAGACACTACCAAAAAAAGAAAATCACAGGCCAATATCATTAATGAACATAGATGCAAAAATCCTCAACAAAATACTAGCAAACAGAATCCAACAGCACTTAAAAAGATCATACACCATGATCAAGTTGTATTCATCCCAGGGACACAAAAATGATTCAACATATGCAAATCAATCAATGTGATATACCACATTAACAAGAGAAAGGATAGAAATCACATGATCATCTCAATAGATGCAGACAAAACATCTGATAAAATTCAACACCGATTTATGATAAAGACTCTTACCAAAGTGGGTATACAGGGAATATATCACAACATAATAAAAGCTATTTATGACAAACCTACAGCCACCATAATTCTCAACTGTGAAAAACTGAGAGCCTTATCACTAAAATCTGGAACCAGACAAGGATGCCCACTCTCACCACTTCTATTCAACATAGTCTTGGAAGTCTTAGCCACAGCAACCAGGTAAGAAAAAGAAAGAAAATGGATCCAGATTGGAAGAGAAGAGGTAAAATTGTCACTATATGTGGATGACATGATACTAGATAAAGAAAACCCTAAAAGCTCCACACAGAAGCTACTAAAGCTGATAAAAGAATTCTGCAAGTTAGCAGGATACAAGATTAACATATAAAAAAAAGGAGGAGGGGAGAGAATAGCTCAAGTGATAGAGCGCATGCTCAGCACACAAGAGATCCTGGGTTCAAGCCCCAGTACCCCTTCCAAGCAGAAATCAGTAAATAAACTAAATTACCTCCCCCTCATTAAAAAAAAAATCAGTTGTATTTCTTTTCACTAACAATGAATTAGCAGGAAAAGAAAGTAAAGAAACATTCCCTTTTAAAACTGCATCAAAAACAATAAAACACTTAGGAATAGATCTGACCAAGGAGGTGAAAGACTTATACATGGAGAACTACAAAGCACTGATTAAGGAAATTAAAGATGACTTAAAGAAATGGAAAGATATCCCAAGCTCTTGGATTGGAAGAATCAGTATCATTAAAATGACCATACTGCCCAAGGCAATCTACAGATTTAATGCCATCCCTACCAAATTACCTAGGACATTTTTCACAGAACTACAACATCCTAAAATTTATATGGAATCACAAAAGACCCAGAATTGCCAAAGCAATACTGAGGAAAAATAATGAAGCTGGAGGAATAACCCTCCCAGACTTCAGACAATACTACAATGCTACAGTCATCAAAACAGCATGGTATTGTCATAAAAACAGACATATGGATCAATGGAACAGAATAGGGAGCCCAGAAATAAACCCACAGACCTATGGCCAATTAATCTTCAACAAAGGAGGCAAGAATATACAATGGAGGAAAGACAGTCTCTTCAGCAAGTTGTCTTGGGAAAACTGGATAGCATGTAAATCAATGAAGTTCAAACTCTCTCTCACACCATACACAAAAATAAACTCAAAATGGCTTTAACACTTAAATATAAGACAAGACATGATAAATCTCTTAGAAGATAACATAGGCAAAACATTTTCTGTCATAAATCTTAGCAATGTTCTCCTAGGGCAGTCGACCCAGGCAATAGAAATAAAAGCAAAAATTTTTAAAAATAAATAAGTAAAAGCAAAAACTAACAAATGGGACCTAATTAAACTCATAA